GCTACAAACAACGTCGAGATTAAGTCATATTCTATTTTGCCGTTTAAGTACACTTTTCTTTGTCCACAGATTCGAAAGTTCATTTCTCTCTAGTTTCTTATCTGAAACCAAAACAAAGCAATTTCTAAAGAAGTAATGGGCTTTTATTTATTAATCTGACCTATTTTTATAACTTTAAATGTTATTTTTAATGGATACCAATGTCTGAGTAGACGCTCCGTTTATTATTTTAAAAATTATTATATTTCGTCAACCGGATTGCACATTCGGGAAGACTTAAATGAATTAAATGCTAATGGATATCTACTAAAATAACGTTTAACGTAATAAAAAATATGTCGTATTATAAAACAAAATCCATTAATTCTTTAGAAGTTGTTTTGTTTACATTTCATTTATGATTTTCAAGAAAATCCGCAAGAGAAGGTTGGTTTTAAGACAAATAGAATTATGCCTGATTGTGAAACTCTCTGTAGCCGAATTGTCAAAGCATGTTACAGAGTTTTCAAAGCATGTCAAGGTGTTTTCTGCCGGTGAGCCCAATTTTTTTAATAAGTATTCCCGAATATGGAGACCGGTAGGAGATATATAATACTGTTTAAGATAAACGAAGAGTTTACTCACACACGTGTGTCCGATAAAAAGAACATTTATAATAATATATATTCATAGAAGGCATATATATGTGTGTGTGTGTGTGTGTGTGTGTGTGCATGTAATTTTCATATATATTATTGATACATTATATATGCGCGGGACTTATTGGAAAGCGCTCAATATCTGTGATAGACCTAAAAAATTTAGTTGCGTTGACCTGAGTTCAGACCCTGGGTTTCACGCTATTTTAAAAACAGATTACTGATTAATTTTTAAATTTTGATTTATGTATGGTTGCGGATATCGGTGTGTTTATAGACGTGGGAGGAAAAAACCGATGTACGCAACCACAAATAAATCTAAATTTTAAAAATTAATCAGTTTGTCTTAGGATCGCAAATTGTGTCAACTCAATAGGCAACTCAAATCAATCCAACTATATATATATATATATATATATATATATATATATATATATATATCATCAGGTCATCCCATAAGTTCTGTCCGAATTTTTAATAAAGAAAACAAGTGACCAAATGTTACATTTAATTACAGATTCAATCAACAATGTATTTTCCTGATTATCTATGACTTCCTTTCATCTATTAACAAGCTTACTATTTCCATTACTGTAAAATTATTTTGGCTTTGATTCGAAGAACTCACAAATGTCAGTTTTAACCTCTTCCAATGTTACAAAGCTGTTTCTTTCAAATGATTCTGTAAGCCACGAAACAAATGGTAGTCTGAAGGAGCAAGATCGGGAGAATAAGATGGATTTGGAATTTTCTCCCAACCAAGTTCTTGTGATGTGATTCTTGCTGTGTGGTGTCGCGCATTGTCCTGATGAAACATAACCTCTTTTCCATTCACTAGAGCAGGTATTTCTTCCTCAAAGCTTGGTTCAAACGCTCTAATTGCTGACAGTATATTTGAGCATTAATTGTTGCATTAGGTGGTAAGAATTCAAAGTTGATTATTCTTTGGCGATCCCACCAGATTGAAAGAAGGACCTTTTGCCCATGAAGTTCCTTTCTCGGCTGTGGTTGGAGTTCTTCCCTCTTACCAAGCCACTGTCTACGACGATTAACATTTCGATAAAAGATCCATTTTCGTCGACACTCACAAGTCTATCCAAAAAAGGTGAAACGAGTTGGCGAGAATGGAGAGAAGAGCAGATGTCAACTCGGGATTTGAGGTTGTTTTCAGACAATTCATGAGGCACCCATTTTCCAAGTTTAGGAATTTTTCCAAGTTGTTGAAGATGACGATGAACAGTTGTATGGATTGAACTGAGAACCACTACCAATTGCTCAACTGATAAAGCAGGATTTTCTTCAAGGACTGCTTCAAGAAGTTTTTCATCAAACTCAACTGGACGTCCGGTTCGATCTTCATCTTCAAGGGTGAAATCTACACCTCTGAATTTTGCAAACCATCTTCTCCAAGTTCATTTGCACATTCTTCTCCATAAACTGAGTGAATGTTTCTAGCCTCTTCGGCTGCTGAATTTCCTTTCTTGAACTCATAAAGCATTAATCAAATGATTCTTGGGTACTTCCATGTGAGCAGGGTTTTAATCAAACAAAATTTAATTTTATTGTTCTCTGAAATAAAATTTGATCAGTTTAAATGCATCTAAACAAAAATAATGTTCATCCCCATTAGACATTATAAAATACTTAAAATTTTGTTCATTTTAACAAAAAGGTAAAATTCGGACAGAACTTATGGGATGACCTGATATATGTTTATAAAATGTTCAAACAATATTTTCATAGTTATAATTTATTACGTTGGAATCGTAATCACGACCCAATTCATCAGACCTACAAATTCAAAAAGCAAACAGAAAATATATCTCCGGGTTAAAAATAAAACAGTGATAGTGTATATAGGGAAGTGAGAAACAAAGGTGAGAGGGAAATGTATATGATGCCCAGCGATTCTCGTTTTTGGAAAACATTTGTCTGCTAGAACGGTTAACCAGTTCCTGTTGCAGACACCTTCTTAGGCAAATTTTGTGTTTGTTCTGAGCCCAACTCTTATTGATATTGCAATTACGCTAAGGGGACCCTAGCTACAGTACGATGGAGACAGTGTATAAACTGATATGAATCTCAGTTTGACAACGCCATTACGCCCAAACCAAGCAACTAGAAGAATACAATAGCATTTCTAAATTATTCTTGTTTCCAACGATATTTTTGTTGTTTTCGATACTTTATTTCAATGAGAGCTTCATTGTATTAAAACCAATATATGTAGTGGGTTTATTATTAGTATCAGGGATAGAACCTCTGAACGGGCATGTAAATTGATACTCTACATTGACATTTTGTAGGAGGATTTAGTTATGTGGTTGTAAGGTTATTGGAATCTATGAGGTCAATTGTTTTATTTTTCATAATATATGATGAGCTTAACTTGTTTATTATTATCAATGGATTTAACATTTCTACCTATTATGTTTTTGAGTGGTGTTCCATCATGTTTCTAATTATTATGCATTTGGTTACAACAGTATTAGTTAATAGTGTCAGGTTTATTTTGACGTACATTATTATTATTAATATTATCAATTTTGTTAGTGGTATTATTAAGTTTATTGAGATACACATTAATTTTTTCATCAATGACCGAATTAGGAAATTCATTAAAACAAGTGTTTGTTTAACGTTATGTGATTTTTTATAAAATATGTTTTTGGAAGAAGATATCATTTGTGTATATTAGATTATTTTTTTTATAACGGTTAATTTATATCGTTAGGGGCATTCACTATTATAATTAAGAAGACACGAGTTAATATATAGAGAAGTAGTAAATTTATTTGTGCTGAAATCAATAAATACATCAAAAAATGGAATTTTATCATTAAGTTCTAATGTGAATTTGAGGACGGGGGGACTTCCAAATTTAAATTTTTTGTTTTTTTTCTTTAAATAATTTTATATATATATATATATATATATATATATATATATATATATATATATATATATATATATATATATATATATCGTTGGTGAATAATTTGCTGTTCTGTTAGCACAATTAGGGAAGGAATATTAGAAAAGCACAACTTGACCTTTCTCGTTTAATGATACTGGCTCTTCTTCATATCTGCCCTCCGTCATTAAGGTCTTCCCCTGTTAAAATCGGGGACCTTATGCTGCTCAATTAATATGCTTCTATCGTCGTTTTCTTCTCTCGTTCTGCTTCCCCTTTCTTCTCTATGGATGCTCCTACTTAGGAGAAAAAATAAACTCCGGAAACCAGTTTTCTTTTTCATGATTGTGACCTTTTTTTCTAGAAAATGAGTTGAATTAACTTTGCCCTTCGTTTCTATCACAACTGAACTAACACGACAAATAAAACCAGAAAGTTTACATATTTTTATTTTTTTTTTTCATGTTAAATCACCTTGTTTCATTTTTCTGTTTCTTCTTCTCTTATCGAATTCTTTTCTTGTCGAATTCTTCCAGCCTTGTCGAACTTGTATTCTTTTTCTTCATCGTCCTCCCTTGTTGAATTTTTAATATCACAATTAATGTCTGAGATGAGGCATCGTAACTATTTACATTTTTCGAACTCTTCTTCTTCTCACCATTATGGTCACATTCACAACGTTTCAGCCGTAACCATAACGATAACAGCTACTGGAACTGAAAACATCTCTTCCTGAAACACATTTTAAAAATTTCAACCGACAGCAATATTGACTGCTCGGTCAATGAACGCTAAATGTTTCCTTATAGGGAGACGATTATTATTAGCATTAACATTACGCTATCATTATCATTAACCCGGATATGTTAAATTATCTTGTCGGAAATACAAGAATGTAACTTCATGCATTTATGGGTCAGGCAACCTAATATTATCTTCCTAGTTTGTTTGATTGATTTGATTTCTACAGATTAACAACCTTTTGAAAGTTATTTAAATCCGGAAAAATATTTTCAGATTATTAGAATTTAGGTGGGGGTAAAATAATGTGTTTACTGATACAAGTTCTTCTAATTAACCCTCAAGTGAGTTGTGTGTAAGAAATGGCGGATTCCTAACTTCAAGAAATGGCGGATTCCTAACTTCAAGAAACGGCGGATTCCTACCTTCAATAAATGGAGGATTCTTACATTAAAGAAATGGCGGATTCTTAGATTTAAGAAATGGTGGATTCTTAGATTTAAGAAATGGCGGATTCTTAAATTTAAGAAATGGCGGATTCTTACATTTAAGACATGGCTGATTGTTCCATTAAAAAATGTCGGTTCCTTACATTTCTCAAAGGTATTTGTGCAAAAGTGAATGCAACGAATCCGACTGTAATTGGAACTCGATTTTGTGATTTCCAATTCCGAGTCGTCATCCATTACACCACCCGCACATCTAAACATACAACACCTGATATTCCGAAGCGGTCATTCATCTTTGTATTGACCAGACTCGACGTTGCTTAACTTCGGTGATCGTACGAGAATCGGTGTTTCAATGTTATATGACCTTGATCCTTTCTAGTTTGACAATATCTTGCTATTGTAAAAACAATAAGTAGTTAGACACTATATCGTTTTTATAAAACGACTTCAAAAAACGAATATGATTCGTAACACCATAACAACGCAATATCTCATTAGCCATTGGAGACGGCAGGTTTTAAAATATCATGGATAAAATTCAAAACACAACGAAAGAAATGAAAGAAATCGTTTCGTGTTAGATTTATCCATGAATTCTATTAAAGTTTAAGCAAATATCACAGATATGTTTACAGTTGATTTTAATATCACGGCCAGTTTTGTAGTTTTTTGTTGTCTCTCATGTCTAAACGAGACATGATACACTATCAGTCACATCTTCTTTGTATACAACCATCATTTATCTTTTATTTGTCATTAAAATCATGACCTTTTTTTCCTTTTTCCATTAAAAGTTCCGTTTGTATTCTAAATCTCTTTTGGCTTCAGTTTTATTAAATTTTCTTTGCAGTTTTTCTTGGCCCTTCTCTGTCAATCTTAATATTCCTCTTCGTCAATCTCTTTCTTTAGATTAAATATTTATCTTCGCCTTTTCAGTGTTTTTTTTTCTCCCATTGATTTTTATAACGTAATCTTTTTTTTTCTCCTAATTTCCCCTGCTTCATTTCTTTCTTTAACCTATTCGTTCTCTGTTTTTCTCATTACTCAACGTGAGAATTCTTTTTTCTTTTCTTTGATCGATTTCTTGAACCTCCAGCCAAAGCTTTTCTTATTTCAAACCTTCTTCTCAAACTTACAAATGTGCGCACATAACAGTTTCAACGACCATTATCTCCCTCTCTCACTGACTCGTCCCATTTGATTGGAACTATAAAACAACCCATAACATCTTCCGGTACAAGGCCGCTTCTAAAAACACCCACTTCCTATGCATAGTGGTTGATTGCATCCATCCGTCGCGCCACCGACAGAATATTTCTTCTTTAGCTTCCTGGTTCCAACGCCATCTTCTTCTGCAATTTACAGTGACCATTCTATCTTGCAATGTCCTCTTCAAAGCTTAAACCACATCGAAAGATGGCGTCCGGTTCTTCATATTTCTCCTTTTACCCTTTTAACTATCCAGAAAAAAAAAGATCTTTCATATATACTTGGCATATATATATAACACTATCAGTATGACCCAAGCTATTTTGTTGCCGGATTTTATGTACTTTCAAGGTCTTAATGGAGGAAATTGTCCCTCCTTGAATGTCGGTAATAGCTAGTTACTGAATTGGTTGGTCGTACGTTGCATTCATTCTGATATCGAGCAATTATTTTCGGAAAGGATTCAATTCGAAATTTGCCGCAGTCAATATTACTTAATAGTTTTTCATTGGAGGGACAGAATCCAAGAAAAGATCATATAGCTGGTTATGATTTAATTTGGGGATATGTTCTTAGTTAAAGAATAAATGCAAAATAAATAAATTGCCTGTAAAGAACATATGAATAATCCAAGATATAAAGTGAATTATGGGGGGGTTTATCTATCTATCTATCTATCTATCTATCTATCTATCTATCTATCTATCTATCTATCTATCTTTACTCACACACTGACCCACTCACATACACCCATCAACATCATCACTTGATAAGACACCGAGAGTGTTGAAACAAAATGGCTATTTTTGTAGTGATTTTATAATATATTTATGTTATAATTTTTTTAAAATAATTAATTATATATTTAAAAATAAAAATTTTTTAAAATAAATAATTATATATATATATATATATATATATATATATATAAATATATATATAATTTCAAGAGAGAGCGTATATAAATATTGTAAAATTGAAGTCAACACTCAGAGTCGACAGGCTGTTTCATGCTGGACGCAATCGATTCAGCCTCGAATGTCCAGCATTTGACTTCAATGTTTTGACTTCAATATATATATATATATATATATATATATATATATATATATATATATATATATATATACCGTCTAACAGCGAATTTTTGCAAATCGGGTAACAGCATGATGTAATTGTCATTCTACAAAATGTTTAATATCTATAAAATACATTAAAGTAAATATGTTTCTTTTTCCAGGTTTTTCGGTAAGACGTTTAGCCATCTTGACACCAATTGTCGTAAGAATCACTGAAAAAGCATATGAGCTAATTCTACATAATCTCCAAAGACTTATTCAAAATTAGTAGTACCTAAAACTTCATTTTTTGCATTACAGAATGTTTCTGTGTCTATCGTTCGATATTTTCTTTTCTGTCTTTGTAAACATGGCCGGAAGTACCCAGGACCTTACAAAATAACGTTAAGTTTGATTACAGAATTCTGTATAATATCCGAAGACTTATTCAAAATTAGTAGTACCTAAAAATTATTTTCCTGTGTTACAGAATGCGTTAGCTTAAATAAAAAAAGAGCAAACCCTACCTGGTCAGATCACTGATAGTTCGATGTGTTTCCTTTGTTGAAAGTTTTATACAATATTGCACATTGAGTGAAAGCAAGAGACCTGAAGCAACAGAAATGTATGTCTACGGAAGGATGCAGAGAATACTATGTACCAAACAAGTGAGCAACGAAAATGTTCTCGAGAAAACGGTAAAAATTTACATAATAAATATATATATATATATATATATATATATATATATATATATATATATATATATATATATATATATATATATATATATATATATATATATATATATATATATATATATATAATATATATATATATATATACATATATATATACATATACATATATATATATATATATATATATATATATATATATATATATATATATATATATATATATATATATATATATATATATATATATATATATATATATATATATATACATATATATATATATATATATATATATATATATATATATATATATATATATATATATATATATATATATATATATATATATATATATATATATATATATATATATATATATATATATATATATATATATATATATATATATATATATATATATATATATATATATATATATATATATATATATATATATATATATATATATATATATGTGTGTGTGTGTGTGTGTGTGTAAAAAAATATTCTGTTAATATTTGAGATGGTGAACATTGATTTAACAAACTAGTAATGCGAGTCTACTGCTGACATGAAGTGGAAAGATTATATTCAATCCATTACTAGGTCTGCTGCCACGAAATTTAGTTCACTGTGTCGTTCTAGGATTTTTTTTTCTCGCAAGAGTCTGTCTTACACTTTTTATCAGTCTACCATTTGTCCCTGCACATCTGGCATGAGGCATTTGATATATATTTAGAGATTCTTGTTAAAATACTAAGAAGCGTCTGCAATTTTATCTGTTCCAACCTGTCATCTCGGCTTCAGTCACTTTTCCACCACTTTCAAATTGCTTCCTTGTGTCTTTTCTGTAAATATGTTCATGGCAATAAGCTTTCGTCTTTGGTTCCTACACTTTAAGAATATAAGCGTGGTACTAAAGTAACGGCTAGATCTTATCATTTTAGTTGAAATAATTAATAGTAATTTCTATGCTAACATTTTCTTCTCTGGCCCTTCTTTAGATCGCTTTTGGTACCAGTTAAATTTGATTTAAAAAAAATCTAAATCCAACATTAGTTATTATCTTCAGCCTTCTTAATTTCTGTTCTGTTATTGTATTCGCTCCTTAATGATTTTCCCATGTTCTTTAAAACTCAGTAACCGCCTTAGGTCATAGTGACCTTATTGCATTGCTGGGACTGAAATGATTTTAAAATGTCATTGTTTATCGCACAATTCGTAACAGTTACAATCACTACAAAGTGTTGTGTTGTATGCGTGTGCTTGTTAATATCTACATAGGTTCTGTCCCCGTCAATAAACCATCTTCTATAAAGGGAACACATCGTATCGAGAAAATTGTTCGAAAATAATTGTCCGAAAACAATTATTCGAAAACAATTATTCGAAAACAATTATTCGAAAAAAATTATTCGAATTGTATTCTTGTTTGAATGATAATTAATCCAAAAGACAATTATACTAAATAATAATTATTCGAAAACATATGATTAAAATATGTATGTGGTCTTGCTTTGAGAGAGTCAATGCTGATTTACCTAAAACTAATAACGCCCTTGAAGGATAACAGAGGTCTCTTTTAGCAAAAAAGTTTCATCCCATCATCCACAATATGAAAATTCTTAGACGCTCTTAAAAGAGAACAGAGAAAGTAAAAACAGGTTGCCAAAATATCAAGGACGCTAAGTAAAACCATGGCATAAATCGAACAAATTAAAAAAAATTAGTGGCATCCTTTAACGAGTGATCTTATCTTTATTTTAGTTGTTTCATTACTTTTCACCGTATTTTTATTCTGATTTTTAATGCTGACTTGCAGACCAACAACCAGTCGTCATTATCGGGCATCAACGAGTAACACATATAACTTAAGGTTATAAGGATTTTTTTCTAATTAATTGTTTTATTAACGATATTAGTATTTCGAATAATTATTATTTGTGCATTTTCTCTTTTAATTTTTACATTTTTATTGTAATAAAGAATTTTGCATTTATTATCAATTAGTATAATTGTCCTTTCGATTAATTTCATTCAAACAATTCACAATTCGGATAAATGTTTTTCGAATAAATGTTTTCAAATAATAATTATAAAACAATGTTCACATAATAGAACACATTACACAGAAAACACACACAAATGCACATATATATTCTACTGCGTGGATTCTTTTTAAATATGCTTTCATTTTAGCTAATACTACATTCACCGTAATTTTACCAGCTTTGTTTATAGCAGCAGCATTAACTTGAATGTTTATCAGATTGTCATTGTCAACCATTATTAATTTTCACATACAAATTGTTCAGCTTTATTTTACTGTATGTACACACGAATCATGAATAGTCGTAGTATTATCTTGAATTTTCATTGAATGAAGCA